TGTGCATGTATCTATTTTTAGTACACATAATTTAGAATACTCCAAAACTGCAATTCAAAACTGAATTATTCTGGTGGAGCAGCCCTCAAGAAATCATACAATTCTTGAGGCTGGAAGAGACCTCTTGAGATCATTGAGAAATACATCTCATTCAAAATGCATCAGGTTACCCTCAGTTTAGGATTTGCAGACAGCATGTGATTTCCATCGTGTGCCTCTGCATCAGCTGTTACAGAATTTTGCAATGCAACATCTAGCCTGATTTACCTAAGCATTTAATCTAGATTACTTTAGTGCCAAATCTAACATTTCTGCTAAGTGCCTTTATGGAGAATGTAAAAGCATGGGTGGGGAGGGAAAGACTACATAAGGCCCAGAGCCGTGTGAGCTTATATGAAAGCTAGTCCTGCTTTGATGAAGTGGGGTGGATTGGGTTGGACCAGATTATCTCCTGAGGTTCATTCCAACCTAAATTATTCTATGGTTCTGTTCGTAAATAGTACTTTAACATGTGTTTTAATTCAAATACATATTTAAGTAATCAGTAGAATGATATTTGTCTTTTTCACAGAAAGAAAGGAAAAGCTAGGAGAATCATAAAAAGAAAGATACCTCTCTTGTTCAAGCTGGTCATGACAGATTGCCAAATAAAACACAAATAAAAACCCACCAAAACCCCATATATTCCACACCATATAAGCATTCTATTTTATTTCTAGAAGACAGCCTTATAACAAAATTTTTATTCCAGAAATTTCCTGGAATTTCTGTTTTTATCTAGAAATAGAAATTACAGGAAAGACTGATTACTTCCAACACCCAGGGATCTAAAGAGCAACATACCGAAACTCATACACAGTGTGTTCACCCCACCCTGAAACATAATTTCTCATTTTAACCTGAGATTCTGTAAACACCTCCAGGGGCAGGTCCTTTTGAACTCCTAATTCTGAGAGTGGAAAAGGTTCTATTTTTGACTGACAACGTAAGTTTAATGTGAAAATACCATTTGTCTGTGCCAGCTCCAATGCATCTTTACTATCTTGTAGACTTCCACCTGTAATCAAAAGCTTGTAAGAAGAAAAGTAGTGTCAGCAAGTATGTTCTTCTTTGAACATCAAACAACATTTAAGAAAAGATAAGAATCTATACAGAGAACATCAGAAGGCAATTACTAATGTATATATGACAAAATTTCATAAATCAGTAACAAACCTCAATGGTCCTCAGGAGCTGGTAAATACACAAGGCATCAAACCCTGATTTTTTTCTTCATCAGGTATCTTCTGTGCTAAGTATTTAAACCATTAAACGAGTAAAATACTTCCATTTGCAGCAATATTGACTTCATTAGTCAATGACTCAAAACTTTGTTTCTGAATATAATTTCTTGAATGCAAATATTCTCCCTGTTTTACAGGTGGAGAAACTAAAAACACCCAAACACCCAAAACAAGACGTGAGCAAGTAAGTAGATAAACCAACAAAGGAATCTGTATCAGTCAGGATTACAAATTTAAGAATATCTGGCTCTGATCTTTTATTTTTACCTTAAGATCAGAGGTTATCACACCAGAATTGTTGCTTTACAGTGTTTTTTGAACCACTACTTGCAGGACTTTGCACCCTAGGTCCTAATAAACCATGACTATACTGCTTTTGAACAACTCTTATGCCTACACATGCTACATCAGACTCGGTCAGCACCAAGTCAGACTTTTCTGCAATATGCTCCATTAAAGATGGACACATCCCAACAGCATCACCAGAAAAAATAAGTTAAGCTGATTATTGTCTCAGTACACATACAGCACAGGGCAAAACTTTACAAAAAAATTATGATAAATCAGCAGCTAAATGGAAAAATAGAAGTATTTTCAAATAAACAGATTAAGCTTCTAGGCAAGCAGAAACAATCTGGGATAGAATAGACTTCTGACACTGTATGGGCCAGTAGCAAAACTGAAAACACAGCTAAGGACACAGAACTCCTGAATTCCATTTCTGAATTCACTGTGAATCTTGAAAAAGTTACGCAGTCAATCTATTTTTGATTATAAAAAGAGGAAAAATTGCCACTTACTTTCAGAGGGTGGTATAAAGATTAAACAGTACTTACACAGCACATATAAATGCAGTAAGTGACTGTGATTCTGTATTTGCTACAGTGTGGTAACTTCTCCATCACTAGTTTTCTTTTTTTTGTCTCACGGTTTATTTCCCCACACTTTTCAGATGAGAGCCTTTCAGCAAACTTTCAAGATGTCTGTTCCTCTTCTAGATGATGTTTTATTTCTTTATTTCTACGCCACCAGCCTTATTAGTGCAGTAGAACAGTTTGTGGCCATGTACACTGTATTCTATTTTAAACTGTATTTTTGTCTTGACAATCTATTCAGTTTAGAGAGAAAAATAAAGGCAGGCTGGACTATTATAACTAAAGGAGTGTGGTCCACTGCTGAAAACAGTGACTTCAAGCTAAGAGTTACAAACCTGCTCATCATGATGCAGTTTAAATACACGTAAGCCAGTATTTACTAGCACACATTCAGATGTCTCAACTGTAAGAATTTATGGGCACTCCCAACTCTTCTGCAATTATCAATTTCCTTTACACAGAGAAATATCTGAAGGATTATTATCAGAAGAGCTTTTGAGTTTTGATCTGTAGCAGTAACTGTTGAGTGAATCACTCAGGATACAAGACAGGAGTGGATGCCTATATTACAACATGGAGAATTACATACTCGTTGACTGCAGTAGGTCAGAGGAGAACATCTTTCTGTCGGAACTGTATAAAAGAAATTCTACATACCTATCACATATGATACCACTGAACTGATCAGCTTCTAACAATGTGTGCAAATGAAAGATAACGCTCTGCACAGAACACTTTTGCTTTATACTACTGAAGAAAGTTACTGCATTTTCCACTGCAAGTTCCAGAAAGTTTTGTTGCAATATTGAGCGCTAAAAAGCAAAGTATTAGAAAGCAGTTTAAAATATTAAAGAAATTTTATTTGACAAAATTACCTTTTTAACACCAACTTTGACTGCTCTCTCTATCACATCCAAAAAGTCATCTGTGAGAAAGTTCATAAAAATGACGTAAATTGAACTTAAGGTTTTACAGCATAATTTAACCACTTTTCAACTAAAAATCACTTTCATTCAGTCAAAATGCCCATCATGAACAATCTCTAAACCACACTTGATAATCTTTAGAAGATACTAACAAAAAGCAATAACTGAAGATCCAGTTTAAATACAAGTAGTCAGCGGAAGCTTTTCTCATACTTTATAATAGACTCTGGTTTTACATCTATATCTAAAGGCTGTGACAGCAAAAACAAGCATCAGTTATAATTAGTAACTACGATTCAGCAGTGCAATACTTTGATAGTTTATTGTTCATAATTCTCAGATCAGTTTCTTCCATGCAATCCTAACATAAACACATCAGCAGTTTTTCATTTTGCTCTAGAAGCAGTTACCTGTATGACAACTTAACAGTAATTCAGTAGAAAAGATTGTATTTTGCTTAGAATATCTAACTTATTTTGTCACGCTTTCTTCTTCAAGCCAGAGCAAATAATAAGCATCCAGTCTCTGAGGAGAAAAAAAAAAATCTAACCTCACTTTCTTGACAGGTAAGATGCTTCCATTTTAACAAGGAGGATCCTGTCTTTCAGCAGATACAAAGAAACATTTACCTTGGTGTTTCTGTGTTCCCCTGTAGATTCCTCTGAACATCGGATCTGTCAGGTTAATACCAATATCTATGAAGAAACAAATATAGAAATTTGACGTTTTCGATGCTCTCTACGTTTCATTCTGAGCATTAGCCAACTAGGGAATACAATGGAAAGCATATCTTAGTAGTCCCTGACTACCACACTGACAGGCCATATAAAGCTCAAGCATAAGTTTACTTGCATAACTTGAGAGCTTACTCCTTACTAGAAGTGTCCAAAAAATAAAATTTGGGCCTACCGTCCAACTTGACTTATTCTATGAGTATGTAAGACTCGCCCTCATAATCACCAAAGCTAATACAGATATACTGTTTATTGCAATTAATTCTGCTTTTCACACGAACATATAAACGTATCTCTGCCAACAAGCAGTAACAGGGAAGGAAAAATGCATCATCTCACATCCTACCTTTACAGGGGTGGGAGCAGCAACAGACCACTTCCTAAAAGTGCCTGTTTTCCCCTTTTACTGCCTGCGACCATCCAGCCTGGCCAGCAGCACCAACAAGGGAACCTGCAATGCAGACACCGGCCGAGGCCGCTCCCGGCCCAGCGCCGCTCCCTCCCTTGGCTCCCAGAGCTTTCCCCGAGCCGCAGCCCCGCAGGCGAGGGCTGAGGCACCGACGTGAGGAGCAACCGCCTCTGCAGCTGCCAGAGCCCACCTTCCTGGCGGGGAGGGAACTTCTCCAAGGTAATATCAGGCTGCTCAGCCACAAATAAAACTTCAGCCTGAACCGACCTTCTGAAGTTGGTTACATACTTGCTGCCGAATTTCCTAAAAACATTAACATTTTCATCCAGGACAATTTCACACAATTAGAATCAACCACGACTGATGCACCAAAGCAAAAAATGATGAGAGCCGGCCAAAAGATCGAGTTTAGGGATAACTCTGAGTAGCCACACAGCAGCCCCTCCGTGAAGCCCCCGCCGATGTCAGAAACGCTCCCAAACGCTCCTTGCAGGCTCAAAGGCAGCCTGCACCTCGGCCCCGGAGACACCGAGGGGGACTGCAGAAGGTGACAAGCCCTGGATGAGGGGCGACCCGCACCACCCCACCCCACCCCGGCCCCCACGGAGCGGGGCGGCGGGGCTCCCTCCGCGCGGCGGTGACTGCCTCGGCCCGGCACCGGGAGAACCGCGGAGGGACCCAGGACGAGGCAACCAGCCGCACCAACGCCAGGAAGGCAAATCCACCACCACCACCTCCTCCTCCCCCCCGTCCCGCTCTCCCCTCACCGATGAACTTGACGCGGCTCATGGCTGCGGCAGCGGCGGCGGCGGGAGCACGAGCGACGCGCCTGCGCGCAGCACCGCCCTCCTCCACCTTCCCGTCAGCCCCTGCGGGCGGCACCGCCCTCCACCTTCCCGTCAGCCCCTGCGCGCGGCAGGGGACGGGCAGCGCTGCGCGGCTCGTAATGGCGGCGTACCTGACGCACCAGCAGAAGGTGCTGCGCCTCTATAAGAAATCCCTGCGGCACTTGGAGTCCTGGTGCATCTATCGGTGAGGGGTGAAGGGAGGGGGAGACCTGTGCTTCTTAGGAGCTGGCCTTCCCCGCCGACACGGGGTGTTGGGCTTGACCGGGCCTTTGTCCTCTTTCATTTCTCTCCCTTCCCCTCGGCCTGGCTGAAGGGGCGAGGAAGAAGCCTCTAGGGCCACTTGCCAGTGCCTGCCACAGAAAAGTGCGATGCGGGGACAGGAGGCCCTCAGAGGCCCCTGGCCAAGCCCTGTCTTTGCGCAAGTGGGACTGGTGGTGCCGCAAAGCTTTGTTTCTTTATGTGATTAGTGTTTTCCTCAACGTGCTTTATCTCTCTCTGTAGAGACAAATACCGCTACTTTGCCTGCCTCCTGAGAGAACGATTTGATAAGAACAAGGATGTGAAGGATATGGTGAAAGCTACAGAGCTGCTAAGGGCAGGTGAGGAGGAGTTCTGGGCAAACCAGCATCCTCAGCCGTACCTCTTCCCTGACTCCCCTGGGGGCACTGCCTATGAGAGATACGAGTGCTACAAGGTAAGGTGGCCTGTAAGGTTGTGTATTACTATGCTTGCCTTACTCTTTTCTTGGTGAATGTGGTGTTCTTTAAGTGGACTTTCATAGTGCTGCAGCTCAACTCAGCAGTGTAATTTCTGTAATAGTTTACAGCTGCTGAGCACCTTAATGCTTGCATGGGAGAAGCTATCCCACCTGTCTGATCCTTGAAAACGGAGTTTCTTGGCCTGTCTGAACACAGGTAGCTTCTTTCTGCTTGGGTAGTCGTGGGTCTTTTGCCAAGTGGGAAGTGCTCGGCGATGGGTCAGGCGGGCACAGTGAAAGGTTGGAGCTGAGCTAGGAGAGTAAACAACATGGGGGAAGCTGTGCTGCCTGCTGTGGTGCCATCTGGTCACAGCCTCTGTTTCTTTCTGGTCTTGCCAGATACCAGCTTGGCTGTTGTGGGACTTCTCTTCATTCTGTCCTAGTGTTCTTCCAGTATTTTGAATAATGGTATAAATCATCGTTTGCCTTCATATGCCATAGTGCCACATACGTATTTGTGCGTCACTGTGTATGCCTAAAAATAGAAGCTGTATTTTTGGAACCTAAGACACCTCTAGAGGCTTTTCTTCCCGTTAGGTTGTTCTATTTAGGAGTAAAGAAACAGGTTTCATAGAAAAAACATAGGGTTTTCACTTTCTTGGCATCTGCTCTTTTAATGTATTACATGAAGTTAATACTAACCTAGAGAGTGCACGTACCCATTTTTTTCCTGAATTTGAAGAAAGTGCTGATACAAGACTAGGTCTGATCAGATCTTTATGCATAACAAGCACTGTGAAAGGAAGAATCTGACACAGAATTATTGGAGGCAGAAAAAAAAAAAGAGTGAAAGGAGAAAAGGAGGACTTAAGCTTATGCTAAAGTCATGGGCATTAGTAGTAGTAGAGGTAATAGTGGGAGAGAATACAGACAGAAAAAAGGCTGGTTGAGCAATAAATAGTCAAAATTAGTTTCCTTGTAGAAGTATAAACTGGTTTATGTTCTCTTTTCTCTGCCCTGTTTGATATGCTAAAGGTGACCTTTAACAAAATGGTTGTCACAAGGATTCCGCTTGTTTATATATCAGTGACTGTCCGCTGTGCTGCTACAAAATGTAATTTTTTTAGATCTCAGGCTGTTTAATGGTTTTAATTGTTGTTTGGTGTATATGTATTTCTCTTTATATTATTATTAGCAGCTCTGCTATTTCTGTTCAGTCAGAGGTTTAATCAGTGATGAGAGTCACAGCAGGAAACTGGAAGTGTAAATGAATGATAGTATTGGAGCAACTTCCTAATTTTTTTTTAAGATTTGTGGGTTTTTTTTTTTGTTGCTGTTTTTTTTTAATCAGTGTTCCTGTCTTTAAAATGTTAACAATAGCGGTATGCTGCTGCAGAATTTTACATTTTGTTGTTTTTTTTTTTTTTCTTGATTGGACATCTTAGAGATCAGGCCATTACCAAGATCTTAAAGGTCACTAATCTTTTAGTGGTTATTGACAAGCAGAAATGAGCTGTAAGGTTCTGTGTCTGTCAAATAAGATGAATTAGTAGTTGGAGAGCAGGATCTCTTGAACTTGCTGCCTTTGGGAGAAGGAGGGGAAGAAATTAGATCTTCTCTTCCACCAGATGGAATTATTTTGAGAACCTCAGAGCAAACTGAGATGACCTGGGACTTGTCTTTGGGATGCAACGATTTAAGCAAGTCTCTCTGATGTCTTCCTATGATTTAAGGTTATGTGTGAAATGATGATTGAAAGCACTGACCTCTGCCATGTAGTGTCTTGAGACTAACAATAGTCAGGTAGCTCTTAAATGATGTGTTTATATAGTACTGTATTTCCTGGGTTATTTATCCATTTTAATACTGGCTTCAGTGATTGTGTTTAGTTCTTCTGTATGTGTCTACTATGTATGAGTTCATATATAAAAATAGTATTTATCAATTATACTTTTCTTTAAAGATTCCTGAATGGTGCTTGGATTACTGGCATCCTTCTGAGAAGGCAATGTATCCTGATTACTTTGCCAAACGAGAGCAATGGAAGAAGCTGCAGCAGGAAAGCTGGGATAAAGAGGTCAGTGCTTGCTCAGTGCAAAGTAAAGCCTCTTTAGCACGGAAGTATTTTGTGTGACATCTAGGTGTGTTCTTGGAAAAATTATTGAAGGCCTCCTCCGGTCTCATTTAGACTCTGCTTTTTTAGAAACACTGACTTGATCTAAAATGCCTACACAGAGATCTTTGAGGTACAGCTTTTTAAAGACTGTGAAGGGTATTTGAAGTTAAATCTGAACCTCCAACCATGTTTCAGTTAGTGCAGGGCTGTTGTGGCAGTTTTGCCAGAAGAAATTCCAAAGTTGGATGAGAGGAGATTAATAACCAGAGAATTCCTCTTCTGCTGCTGGCAACTGCTGGTGACACTTTCTGGTTTCACCTTTGAAAGTGACTTACCACAGTGTTCATCACTTGGGATTCAAGACTAATTTCTGGCCATCCTAAATTGAGATTCAGTTGGAAGAAGTTGATGCTCTTAGAATAGTTCTCTAATTCAGTTGTAGAGAAATAGTTGGATTATATGTAGTATGGCACTCTTACCAGAATTAACATAGTGGCAGCCAGCACTTACTCTGCTTCAAGAAATACGTTGAAAACATCTGAAGGGCTGCTGGTGGCTTGCAGAAATCGAGGTCTCCTGCAGACTGGAATGGAAGTTGTTCAGGACTTGTAATTACCTGGCAGCTTTTGAAGCAGCAAGAGAATTCAGTCCATTTAATGTAGCAATAGTAGACATGAATTATGTGGAAATAATGACCTTTTAAGTAAAATTTCTCTTGTAAATCACTCTTTACTCCTGAAATTTCCTTCTTAATTAGGTAATACAGGCCTGCAGTGATTACTGAGTTTAAGTGAATACTGGGAAACATGAAACCTGTCTGTCAACCAAAGGTGTTAATGCTGGTTCTTCCCTTCTGAAATGGGGACTGGTTTTGCTTACAGCCTGGGCACTGAAAACCGCGTTATGGAAACGTGCATTTATGAACTAAAGCCAGTTTATGTCTTGTCTTCTAGCTTAAGCAGTTGGAAGAAGAAACTCCAGCTGATGGTCCGAGAACTGAAGCTTTGCCTCCAGCTCGTAAGGAAGGACATCTGCCACCACTGTGGTGGCAGTATGTTACAAGACCTCGTGAAATTCCCATGTAAAAGCACTATTTCACATGAGAATTGAAGTGGCTTATCTTCTGTAGGCAGTGTGTCAATGACCACGTGCTACTCTAAGTAAATATACAATAAAGCCAAATAAAGTAAAAGAGAAGGCATTTTTCTGACATACTGTTCTTCTGTAACATGCACATGCTTCACTTCCAGTTTGTGCAGTGTAGAACAGATGACTGACATTTTCAGTATATTGTGTAGATGTTAAGAGAGCGTTGACCAGCCTGTGAAGAAGTGTTACTGTGGTACTGACACCAGAGCAAGTTTCATTGCAGCTTTCACAGGAAGAGTCAGGAAACTCAATGATGAGACTGAAAAACTTGGCCACGTAAACATTTGTATTCTCAGGGAAGGAATGTGAGCTTAAAGGTGTGGGAGAAGCAGATTTACTGGCTCAAATGATAAGCAACTAAACTGAGACTAACTGGCAAGCGCCTGTGTCCTGCTGTGGAGAATGTGGGAGGGAAGGGGCAGATAAAGATTAATAAACAATTTGTATCAGCCTTGCAGCTTAATCTGGTGCAGAATACAGGCAAGGTGTTAAATCTGGAGGTTCAGGATACTGACAGCACCAGATAGGGGCTTTGGTTGCTCCTGAAATGAGGGTAGTTTTAATCTTGCTTAGGGATAAAGACTTCTTGCTCTCCCTCCCAACCTCATTAGGCTCTTTGCTGCGTTTTTCACTTAGGTATCAAATCTCACAAGACATAAAACTTCCTTGCAATGCCATGCTTTCTTGCTCGCGTGGGTAATGTTGCTGTAGAGCACCAGAAGAAAGCTCCTCCCCTTTAAACCGATTCCTAGGTCACTCCAGAGCCGTATTGGTTAAAATAAGTGGCTGGCTGAGGCGTGTGGCTCTTGTGCTCTCATTTATGGGTCACAAACAGTTCTAGCAGGCAGTGCGATGCAGTGAGCTCGGTACAAAAAGCTGTTTGCTTCTGGTCACATTCCAAAAGCAGCAATAGAAGACACAGGAAATTTTGCTAACAAACACTTCAGTAACTTCTGCTAAGAGACTAGATGGGATATAGCCATCTAGTAATGGCTCATAGGAAGAATTCCCTGGCTCTTCTGCTGTTCTCCCATTTTCAGGGCTGGAAGAGAGGAGATTTGGGTTACTCAAGCTCACTTTGATTCTGCACAAGTTATTTAATTGTACTATACTGAACCCTAAGACCTCATCTTTCCAACTTACAGCTTGAAGATAACAAGATGGTAAAGGCACTAACTTCAGCTGTTTTAAGGACTTGGCTCGGATATAAGAAAAGGTTTTAATGCAGCTGGTTTTTAGACATTTTACATGTCTCTCTCCAGTAAGCCTACGTGCTAAATATACCTGGATTTTGGAAAAAATCCCAACCCCACAAACAAACAAAACCTCCAGAAAAATGGCACTGGAGGTGCTTGTTCACAGTGAGTTCCAGCTTGCACCCTTTTTCTAACTCGGTACAGGTTTCTAATACAGGCTCTGCACTACCAGCACCGCGCACCCCTGAATTACAAACGCTGATTTGCTGCAGCAGCTACTTGCATTAGCCCAAATAGGAAAGGTCAAAACCAGATGTGGGCAAAATTCTTATGGAAGTGCAACATGACAGGGCAAACCCAGCGCAGCTGCCCTGCCGCTGAGCCCATTTTGCCATCCCTGCCAGCCTGGCAGAAGCGGCTCAGGGCTTGGAGCCGTAACCGAGGCTGTGCTGGGGGCACGGGAAAGTCAGCCGGCAGGTACGCACCGGGCAGATCTGAACTTCTTCTGAGACAAATACAGCCTTACACAAACTGCCCCCCTCTTCCTGCACCTCACCTTCCCTCCAAACCCTGTTCCCGTGCTTTGCTTGTCTGATAACTATTCAGAAATTACGCAAACACCAACATACTCCTTTAATTATGTGCGATTTTGCACCCTCCCTGTCAGTCAGCCAACCAACCGTTTTGTTTTTTGTTTTTTTTTTTTTTTTGGCTAGAAAACAGAGGAAAACGTCCCTCCTGACTTTTACAAACACCTGAGCAGGTCTGACATATTCCCAAACACGATGGCTAACCCACCTCCCAGCATTAAAACCAACAACACCCTCCCACACACACCCCAAAAGAAATGTTTCGCAGGTGCAGCTGCAGGTGAATTGGATTCACTGTAGAAGCAGCAGGGATAAACTTTGGAGTGAGAGCACCTGGCCAAGCAGTACACGAGCTACAGCCACAGCGAGATGGGAGCAATCAAACTATAATCCTTTTGGAGACAGGATGTATTTCCAGCCAACCTACCTTGAGTTCTCCTTCAACATCTTCATGACTGTATTGGCTTTGGCTGAGATGAATTTTCCCCGCAGCAGCCCTCACAGTATTGGGAACTAGAAAGGTGTTGCTAACACACCAGTGTGTTGGCTACTGCTGAGCGGTGCTGGCACAGCACTAAGGCTGTGTCCCCAGCATCCCCCCTCACCCGTAGGCAGGGGGGTGGGTGGGCAAGAGCTTGGGAGGGGCCAGAGTCAGGACGGCTGACCCAGCTGACCGAAGGCCATGGGCTCCTCTCTCCAGGCAGTCACAGGTCTTGCCAGGAGCCTGCTCCAGGGTGGGCTTCCCATGGGGGTCACAGCCTCCTTTGGGCATCCACCGGCTCCGGCGTGGGGCCCTCCCCGGGCTGCAGGTGGGCATCTGCCCCACCGTTCACCTCCCCGGGCTGCAGGTGGGCATCTGCCCCACCGTTCACCTCCCCGGGCTGCAGGTGGGCATCTGCCCCACCGTTCACCTCCCCGGGCTGCAGGCACAGCCTGCCTCACCATGGGCTTCACCACAGGCTGCAGGGGAATCTCCGCTCCAGCACCCGGAGCACCTCCTCCCCCTCCTTCCTCACTGACCTGCGTGTCTGCAAGGGTGTTTCTCTCACATATTCTCACTCCTCTCTCCAGCTGCTCTTGTGCAGCAGTTTTTTCCCCTCCTTAAATACGTTATCCCAGAGGTGCTACCACTATCGCTGATGGGCTCAGCGGCAGGTCTGTCCTGCAGCCGGCTGCATTGGCTCGGTCGGACACGGGGGAAGCTTCTGGCAGCTTCTCACAGAAGCCCCCCCTGCAGCCCCCCTGCTACCAAAACCTTGACACACAAACCCAATACACTGACAAGTGGAAACCTCTGGATAAACACTAAGCTATCAATGTCCTCCCTCTCTACCTTTGTTCCGGAGAAAGCTGGACAAAAGAAAGTCTTCAATCACTCGGGGGCGTGTGGGAGACGGCACTGGTAGTGTGCTTGATAAATTCTGGCTGTAAGCACGGGCAATGTTGACAGCAGCAATTTTCCTCCTCTGGCAAAAGGAACTGCGGTCCAGCACTGAGGCAGATGCACAGTCACGTTGAGTTGGCTGCACTTCCTGGCCAGATAACAGTGAGGGACAGGGAAATGTCATCAGTTATTATTTAATGGGAATTTCCATCATTAGCACCACACCTTTGTTCTGCTACTACCCTTCCAGTGCACATCAGCAAAACATAGCTAGATGTGTTTTTATTTACTTATTTTTCAATTCTCTCTTGCTCTTGCTACACGCAGATGGAACCTGCGTGATCTTCAGAAGTCTGATGAAGAACACCATTGATATCCAAAGCTCTGGAAGCAGAAAGTCTTTAAGAACTGAAATACAGAAGTTTTCCAGCAGTTCTTTATTTATCATGTAGGCTTAAGCAATCATTACAATGTAGAAGGGAGACACACTTACAGCAATTATTTATACCAGTTTAGAACAAAAAACTGCACAGGGAGAGGTCAACTCTCAGTACAAACTAGCAACTAAACCACAATAATTTACCATTAGAAACATTTTATTTTTTAGCTGTGACACTGCTTTTACAATATGCAAAAACACAAACAATAGAACTATCCAAAGTGTTTTGTCACATTCTTTCTACATTGAATTTGGCAACATTTTATATTAAATTTTACTGATTATACTAACGTTTAAGAACTAAACAAGTGAAAAGCTGTACTCGGGTACAGTTACATCCATTTATTTCAAAGGTTTAAATAACACTTTTAACTATTGAGATTATCTCCTAGAAGTTTTTGTTTATGCAAAAACCATCTCAAAGCCTCATTTGCACAATGCATCAGCTACTGTATCAAGATTGGTGGGCTACACCACAGGCACTACTGTTTATTATATTCTGTAATAAGGAGCTTGTTTTTCAAAGAAAGGAAGGTTTAATATTTTCTAAGAATCATGCCTTTTTGTTTTTTGCTTTCAAGCCATAACAAAAAAAAAAAAAAGGTTAGCAACCACAGCAGTGTAAAATGTTATATAGAACACAGTGACTACACAGTTACTAGAAGTTTCACATCCAATGCAGTTATGTATTAAAGCATAAAAGGTTGTGTAGGCAAGTCTAGAGCCAACAGAAATCTGCAGAGTGTGTGGTGGAAACCAGCCCCTTCGATGTATTATTTGGTGCATTTTTGGACAATCCTGGAGGCGCAAGTCTGGTGCCCACCCACGTGTGGCTCTGCTGTGGGTGGGCAGATGGCATCCTTCTGGACTGTCTGATGGAGCATGTGTCGTGCTCTGGGGTCTGCATATTTCTATGAGCTTTAGGAGACGGGTACTGCAGCAATAACTTACTTTTTACTTTACGGAAAAAATCCAACTCTTAATAATTCTATCGATAGCGTTCCAAAAAACATGACTTAAAGTACGAAAAAAGAGAATATAGTGGTCAGACTCCCAGTATTATCAAAAAAACCAGTATCTCTCCCCACCCCCCCACCCTTCACCCCTTTCTTTTCGGTATTTAAGAAAAGCCAATCAACTGCCATTTAAAAGAAGTTAAGAAAAACAAGCCCCTGTATTGGAAAGAAACATTCGCAGTTTATTAGATCACAAGCTGGTTACACCTGTCAAATTGTTAAGTGTTTTCTCAAAATATTTGGGCTTTCCAAGGTGCCCAGCCTGCTGGGCACAGTCAGAAAAAGGCATTTTGATAGTATCTAAGAACTCCCTGCTTGCATTTTAAAAATGTTTTCACATTTGTAACTGCCTTAAGCCTGTTGTCCTTGTTTGTATTCAGTGAAAGGATGAGTGGAACAAAAAGCGAAGGTGGAAGAACCAAGCCTA